CCCCGCCCCCGGCCCCGCCCCCGGCTTCACCGCCACCAGCGGCTGCCTGCGGCACGGAGGCGTGTCTGGGTTGGACACGCACACACCCACGTATACGCAGACCACACCCACAGAGACACTCACCCACGTATACATACCACACACCCACTTGTACACACCACACCACACCACAGACACCCACATATACACACACCACACCACACAGACACTCACCCACCTATACACCCCACACATATACACACCCCACACCCACATAGACACACACCACACCGCACAGCCACATATACACACACGCGCACAGTTATTCTGCCGCCCTCCCGGCTGTCGAAGCCTCAGCTGGTTGTGTGATGTCTTCTCCCCAAACCCTGCACTTCTGGCTGATGCAAGTGGCAGACTCGCAGCCTGCTGTCGGGGTTGTTGCGACAAGACTTTGCCTTCAGGGACTGGTGACGTTGCCGGCTCTTGGGGCTGAACGGCCGGCCTCAGCCTCAGCCTCAGCCTCAGCCTCATCTAGTGCCAACTGCTGTGAACTCCTCCTGATTCCAGCATTTGGGCCAGGGCTGGAGCTGGTCACACCCAAATGCGGGAAGCTCCTGCCCTGTCAAGGCTTTGCCCTGCTGGTCATTTTCTGCAGGGTGAGTTGAGCAATCGGGGCTGCCCGCGAACTCGATCTGCTGTTGCGTTCACGAGGCCCGCGCTCTTCATACAAGGACCCTTCCTCAGAGCAGAAGGCTCTTGTGTCCCTCCATTTGCATCCGTGCAAACCCAATCTAGAGCAGAGAGAAAGGGACCTTGTTACCGCCAAGCTAGATGTGGGTGATGGTGATGGAGAACTGAGAGGACTCGAGACAAGGCTAACAAAGAAATCCTGAGTGGGGTGTGATTGATGGGCTGGGAGGTGAGCTGATGGGCTGAATGGGGTTGGAGGCAGAGCTAGAGTGATATGGGGCAGATGTGGAATTAGCATTGATGTAGGAGGCAAAGTTGATGTAGAAACAGAATAAAGAGCGTAGGCCTTGCTGGATTAACACAGCAGGATTGAATTGGCGGTGAGGGGAGAATTGCCAGTAGTTGCTGGGCCGGGGACAAAGCAGATGTGTGGGGGGGAAGGTCCTCCAGAACCACCTGTTCAGTACATCGACGAGGGTGGCAGCACTCCTCATTACACACTGGGAATAAGTAGGAGAGGCTCATCAGACAGAAGAAAGATTAAAAAACCCACTGTACAATCTTTTCATCTTATTATTTTGGGGGCCTGACTCATGCTTTGTGATGTCTTGAGGCTAGGTGTGTAATTTTGTATTTCAACCTCAGCCAAAATGGGTCAGGTGTTTCCACAAAACAGAAAAAGGGAAATATTTTGTTCCACACATCTTAAAATTTCTGGCACTTTATTTCTTTAAAACAACAACAACTAAACACAAAAACCTAGCACCTTTTTGCTTTGGGTCGGGGAGTTATATGCGACAGGACTATTTTGTTAGGGATCTGGCTTTTGCTGTTCATAGAAAATTTGGCCAAGCCATACGTTTATGAACAATTGCAGTTTGCACATGCTCAGTAGAGATTTCTTAGATATTAGCAGCTAAATTTGCTGTAGATTCGGTCCCCAATGCGCATGCTCCAGCTGGGACTGAAGAGCTGAGTTTACTGCAACAGCTGCTGTAGTAAGAAAACTATCTGTCCTGTATATTTGGTAACTCCTAAAGGACCTATGGATTGGGAAGAAGGATGCTACTATAGAACTGGGCCTTTCCCCTCCCCCAGTTTGGGGCAGTCTGTTGGCCTGGAAGCCTAGTGAGGTGGGACTAGAAATATTTGAAAAATTCCATTTCCTACCCTAATTTCCCTCCCAGGGAAAAATATCTGTATTGAAAAATATCTGGTCAGTATATCTGACCATACTTTTTGACTTGGAATGAAATTTCTTTTTGGAAATGTGAAATTTCCGGTACATCGGTCCTTGTATTGCACTCTTATTGTGAAAGCTTCTTTGTGCATGAGCAGTGTGGTATAGTCTTTAATTATATGATTGCATACAATTTTCCCACTGAATCTCTCTCTGATTTTGTGGGATTAACCTATTGTAGGGCTGCGGTTGGAGCAGGACTGTTAGTGAAGGAAGATGTTGCCTGCAAAAGATCTATCTGGTTTATTGCATAAATTGAAAGGCGTTTTGTGAGTGGGACAGGATTGCAGGAAGGTGAAGAGTGATCTCGTGATTAGGGCAATTCATTCAGTTTTCCAGGACAGAATTTCTGTCCTTGCCTCTGCCGTTGTGTTCTGATGTGAAGCTGGGCAGATTGTTTCACCCAAACCTTTTCATAGGTAAGAGATTACAGGCGTGTTCTTCAGTGTCTGGGTGCCTGACTTCAGACCCTGTGATCTGACCAGCAGAAGTGGTCAGTATTCCCAGCCATTACTGAAAGCAATTTTACCTACGCTTTGCATATGCAAGGTATGTCTATGCCATGCACTGTGGTAGATGCCCAAACCAGCTCAGGGGCTAAAAGCAATCGAGCCACATCACTATGGAGCAGGGGACTAGTGGAAAGAGATGGTATGCCATCCTGTAATTAAAAAACATTTTAACACGGCAGCCAAGAGTAAGGTTGCTTGCTTTTTTTTTTCCCTTTCAGTTTTGAATGCCTCATTTGCAACATTAATAGTTGTGTCTTAATGCAGTGTTCATGTATAACGTTTATAGAGTACTTTGAAAATATCACTGACCATTATTTCCAGATTTTCTTGGAAATTCCATGCCTATGGCTTTATCTCAGGCCTGATGCTGACTAAATAAATCACTATAATACGCTTTGGTGAGTACAGCTTTTTCTCACCTTCTGCCTGTGCAAATATTTTCTGAACATACACATATAAACGTTTGACAGACACATTAATCCAGTAGATGGTGCTGCATGTCTGTATGTTTCAATTTTTTTTTAATAATAACTGAGTTATCAGGATTTTCTGTTAAAATGGAGAGCCTGATTCCTATTAAAAACAATCAGAAAAGGTTTCTTTTCCAGTAAAATCTATGGGTGTTGTGTTAGGGCTTTATGAAAGAAATTGGAAGTAATTGTTAAGGAGACAATGCCATAGCAAACTATTTTTTTGCAGTTTATTCTGTTTCTGAAGCAATTGAATCTTTGTCTATGAAGACCGTTGCCTTGATCTGTGCAAAGCACATAATATAAAACCATGGTTACTTTGCTTTGTAAAGTCTCCCAGTTCCTATTGTAGATAATAAACATCCAGTTTTAGATATACTAAGTTTGTTTATGCTTATTGCATTACACAGTTCATCTGCATGAAAAGAGAGGTTTTCATGGTGGTTTGGTTTCCAGTAATGATGATCCACAAGGTGATTTTTGTTACCTTTGTGTTCAGAAAAAAACCCCAAATGTAGACAAATAGATTTGTTTTTCAAGAAGTTGATGCAAGTCATCAGGAAAAACAGGTTTATTTAAAGGGTTTTTGTCTACTTTTTAGGATCAGTTAAAATTAAGGTTGAGCATTTGTGGGTGGGGGGGTTTCTTTTGGTTTTAAACCCACAATCTACAGGTTTGCAAGTTTAATATAAAGAAATAGAAAATATGGCATTTTATATATGGGTCCTACCATCCAGTGATCTTGTAGCATGCCAGCAAAAAAAAAAAAAGAGAAATATTTTTAGACTTTCTATACAGATGGTAAACTAAGGTCAGTCAGGTAGCAAGATGAAAGAAGCTGCACGTTGGGAGGGAAAAGAGATTAAGGGGACAGTAGGAGTGAGAGGGAGAATAGCGTGTATGTATAGATGTAGGGCTGACATTATGAAAAGTACTGCATTACTAGCTGATGTAAGAACACAAGTGAAAAAATAATTAAAAGGAGATAATATGGGCCAAGGATTGACCCTGAGAATTATTTCTGTATTGATTAAAACATGGTTTCTTTATTGCATCATTGATCTTCTGTATTGATTAAAACATGGTTTCTTTATTTCATAATTGATTTTACTCCTTAGATAAGTAGAAACTAATTGCACCATAAAGGGATGTACTTAACATCCAGGACTGTTGTACTATCAGTTATAGAACATCCATTGGTAGCCAAGGAACAGAATAAAATTGGCAGCACCTTTGATTTGTATTCTTCTTCCTCCCTGAATAAAGATAGACCTGGACCAAAATCAAACTCCCCTGAACTCTGCAGAAGTTTGTGATTGGATGTAAATTTTATGTTTTAGTCTCATCTCTAGTCCATCGTGGTCTCCCATAGCCTTAGGCCATGCTTAAAAACATTTACTGACATACTTAGATTGGTTAGGGATATGGTTCAGGCTGACAGCTATACCAGCAAAAGCCCTAGCACTGATGCAGTAATGCCAGAAGAAAAGTCTAATACCTTATTTCGCTCAGAGAACTAGAATAAGCTAAACCCAGAAAAAAATGCATCTTCACTAGGAGGGTTTGCCAGTACAGCTAAACCAGCAAGCCTTTCCAAGGGTAGACACAGATGTAGTTATGGCTAAGATGGTGATTTGTCTTTATAGCCCCTATGAGCAGCAGTCAGTAGAGGGCACTGAAGTCAGCAGTCAGATCTGTGCCTGCTGACTAGACTGTGGATTTTCAAAACATTGT